AGAGTCACTACTTGGAGTTGAAGGTTGTTCCCCTAAGGATGATTCAACCCCCTCTATTTGGTTTAACCTACTTTCAATTTTATCCATGCGTAACTTGAGCTCACGGTTTTCTTCATCCTTTTTGCGCAACTTTGCCTCTAGATCTGTGATGTATGCCGCTTTGGTGTCACTAAAGTGTTTTCGCTTCACTCCACCTCCAGAACAATAAACAGTTCCATGCCTTTGGGGTCCAAAGTGCTTTTCAACAACTTCAAGACTTGTAAGTGATGGATTAGACTTAACTGTCTTCACAATTTCATCCTATAAATATTTGCAACGATAAAAGCCAGCAATAAAAAGAAATGAGCAATGACTAAATAATGCGTTTAGACTATGAATGAGGGTCATGATATAGTGATGCCTACATATTTTTCTTTTTCTTTTCTCCCATGTAATTTTTCATTTTTGCTTCGAGTCAAAAAAAACATCATTCCCAAGTCTGGATCTTTTGCATCTTTGCCTCCCTGTCAATTATAAGAAAAAAATTATCAAGAACATTTATGTATGAAAATCAACATCATTGAAAAATAAACAAGTGTCGTTAGAGGTTTTCCTACATTTTCATATATGATTTCTCTATGTGGCATACTTCCTGTGCGATGAGGCATTTCCATATCCGATGCTAACCTATTCTTAGAATTCTGCTCACTGATTTTCTGCACAAAAATAAAGTATAATAAACTATTTATTTAAAACATTAATATAAATTTCACTTAAAACCATCAATGTCATACCAGAAACTCAGCAGTCATAAATTTTTTGGTAACAAGCCATTTCCAATCCTCGGCAATCACCCCTTCTGGAACATTCTCGATAGCTTCACTCAAACTTTTGCAAGGTTTTACAAAATCTACATTCATTTAAAAATTGCTTCCTAGGTGAAAAATAAGAACTAATCTTGGCCATTGATGTGAAAAAATGAATGGAAAAGATCAATTTTGAGGTAGGAAACGCGGTGGCATATTTGTAATTACGAAGAACTTTTATTGAAAATATTATAACTAGACTTGATGAATATTGCGGTGACTCGTGCTATTCATGTTCGGGGGATGAATATCTTGGGCATGTTTCAGAAAATGAGAAAAGAATTCCAATCTCAACATTGGATGATTTATGGGATTCTGATGCCAATGAAGATATCTGTGTCAAAGCTTTAAGGGTTACACAAGATAATTGCTTACCTACACAAAATTTGAACACCCAGAAAAGAATGTTCAGAAAAAAGAATCAGCGATCGCATCTTATGAAAACAAGATCGCAATCACGAATAGGGCTTTGAAGAATTGATTGAGGGTCGGGATCATCTAGATAGGGTCATAGGGATTGGCTTTGGGTTGGGTAGTTTCTTATTGGTTTCTTTTTGTTTTTTCTCATTATTTATCTTTTCTTTTATGTTGTCTATGTACTTTTGATTGCTTTGTTTTAATAAAATTTATTTTTTTTAAAAAAAAAAAATTGAAAATATTATAACAAATGTGCATCAGCATAGTCAAAAAGTGCACACGTAGAGCACAGAAGTGCAATACGGTACAAAATAAAAAGTGCACAAGTTGAAAAATTTTTACTATCTTTTTTGACACGCATGAGTGCACATTTAATGAGTAACTATCCACTTTATAGTATAAAGGTACGTTTGCACATTTTTTGAAATCATCTCTTGTGTTTAAAGTTCATCTAATCCATCCATTTTCAAGTGATGGAAGGCCAAGATTTGTTCTCACTTTTCATGGGAAGACTACTTTTTACTTAAACCAATCCCTATATATATTTGGTTCAAATAAAAAGTACTTCAAATAAAAAGTAAGAACATTGGTTCTCAATTTTGGTTCAAATAAAAAGTACTTCATAGGTGAAAAATAAGAACTAATCTTGGCCATTGATGTGAAAAAATGGATGGAAGAGATCAAATTTTAAGGTTGAAACGCGGTGACATTTTTGTAATTACGGAGAACTTTTATTGAAAATTTTGTGACAAATGTGTATCAGAATAGTTAAAAAGTGCACACGTAGGGTAAAAAAGTGCAATACAGTATAAAATAAAAAGTGCAGAAGTTGGCAAACTTTGACAATCTTTTTTTACACGCATGAGTGCACTTTTAATCAGTAAACTATCCACTTTATAGTACAAACATTTGCACATTTATTGAAACGGGCTATTGTGATTAAAGTTCATCTCATACATCTATTTTCAAGTGATTAAAGGTCAAGATTTATTCTCACTTTTCATGGGAAGACTACTTTTTACTTGAACTGACCCCTATATATATATACATATATATATGTATATATATATATATATACATATATATATACATATATATAGGGATTAGTTCATGTGAGAAAACCCTCTTAGGAGAGCAAAAAAGATTAAAATCGAACCATTGACTAATGTAATCGTACGGCTTAGATTAGATGAGGGCTTGGGTTTTTAAAAAACACACGTACGCTCCACCTCATGTGATTGACCAAAAAATGGAAAGGAATGCATGCATTTAATTATGAAAGGGCATTAACGTAAAAGGAGTTTAATTTTGGTGGCCGTTTTTAACTTACGTGTCAATACCTTCCTTAAAAATCTCAATCGTTTTTCTATTTTCAACAAATAAACTCCAACTTTCTCTAAAAGTTAGGGGGCTGTTATTATGAAGTTGGAAGTTTCCTAGTAATTAGGAAAGCAAATAATTAATTATATTCTCTCGTGAGTTGTTTTACAATACGTACTTCCTTTTAATTTGATAGTTTTTAAATTATTTTTACTTTTTTTGCATTATTTACGTACTTTATCAAAACAGCATGTATTGTATTTGCACTCCAGCATAAAATAAATGCACTTTTATTTAAAATTTTATGCAACATCAACTTAATCATATATTTGGGTTTTCCACAAATATTAATATAAGTAATTAATTAACACCATTCATCAATGAAGCACATGTAAATAAAAATAACACTTTTATTATATTAATATGCACTTTTGTAAACTGCACGTTTACATTATTAACTTGCACTTTGTTTTAAGAAAATCCTACACTGTGCATTTCTAAACTCGATCAAATTGTTTTAAATAAAACGAAAATAAATATACAAGAGTATTAACCAAGAGTGCACTTCAAATGAATAGAAAAGTGCACTTTAGTTTATACAAAAGTGCGAAATTATATCACACTTTCTAGAGTTTTGCATACATTCTTACAAAACAAAGTGCACTTTTATCTTGTGCATTGGAAATACATACAAAAGTGCACTATTATAATAAACTTTTTATAACTTTATATCGACATTTTTCACAAAATCAAATGCACTTTTTCTTTCAACTGGATCACAATTGCTCTATTGGTACTGCATCATATCTGCAACAAAAGAAAAAAAATTAAAACCTAAAGAAAGTGTATGACCAAAGCATGGTAAGTGCATCAAAAACTTTTTCTTCAATGAAGCTCTGCAAAAACTAAGCAATCGTATTCAAATGATTATGAATCTAATCTAGTATGAGAAGATAAACTGTAAATTGATGAACATGAATAGTATGAACAATAAACTTAATAATGAGGAGAATCCATGATTATAGAGATATAGATGTTAATTATATAAGTTTGATAAACTTCATAAAAAAGTTACGCAAACTAAATCGACTTACTAGCATCCATAGAGAGGAGATGATCTTGTTCCAAAAGTCATCCTGCTTGAGAGGCTACAAAGATGAGCCCACGATGAAGATTAAAGTAATGGAAATTAAGAAACGTGAATTGGAAAGGAAATTAATAGAGAGAATATTATCACTTCCTAAATAATAGGGAAACAGTTCTAAGGTAGAGATGAGTGTGAATTGGAAAGAAATGTATTGACTTCAATACCCTCTAGGAAGATTTGGGCACATGGTTAATTAGAAGTTAATCCAATGTCTCACATCTATTCTTTTTTGCTCTCCTAAGATTAAGTTCTCACATGAACATATATATATATGAGTACTCTTCCGGTCAGAAATTCCTGACCGGAACCGCCGTCCGGACGGCGGTGTTTGGCCGCCTTCCGAGTGTAATTTTTCGATGAAATTTTTATGACATGTTCTCCATCAAGTCTAGTTTATCCACAAAAAATTTCAGCAAAAAACTCATCCCGGAAGGTCTTCAAATGAGTTTTTCAAGCTAACTGGTCCGGAAAATACATATTCCGGACCAGTTAAATTGAAAAAATCATTTGACGACCTTCCGGATTGAGTTTTTGGCTGAATTGTTTTGTGGATAAACTAGACTGGATGGAGAACATGCCATAAAAATTTCATCAAAAAATTCCACCGGGAAAGCGGCCAAACGCCGCCGTCCGGACGGCGGTTCCTGTCCGGAATTCCGGACATGAACTTTCCTCTATATATATATATAAGAAAGAGATCATGTCCATCCGGAAGGACAAGAGGCTCCGTCTGTCTGCCGCAGCTTGGGGTGGTACCCGGTTGAAATTTTTCATGAATTTTTTAGAGAATGTTCCTCATTAAGTCTAGTTTATACACAAAAAATTTCAGCTACAAATTCATTTGAGAAGACAGTTAAATAAATTTTTTAAAATAACTGTGTTTTCATGAAAACATCCCACAGGGAATAGGTCCAAAACGCCACTGTCCGGACAGTGATTCCTGTGAGGAATTCCGGACATGAATATTTCTTTCTCTCTATATGTAACACATAATGCACATTACACATCTATTTTCTATCACCACTTATATTTTATATTATAAAACTAAATTCCATTAGTGTTGTTTGGAAATAAATAATGATAACTAAATTAAATCACGTATTGAGATAACTACGGATGCAAGGTAGCTAGCGTGCCAATGGACACACTCCCTACATGTACGTGTCACATACTTTGTATGAATGTATGATCCATAACTTAGTTCAAAACTTCAAATTAGTAGCCTCTCACACTCCGTATATATTACTACGTACTATATACTATCGTATTAATTATACTACGTGCCTATGTACTCCGTATTAATAAACCATTTAGTCTAACTTCAGCAGCATTATATTATATTGTTCTTGATCTTCATTCATCATTAGTTTCACCCCAAACCCTAGGGCCACAACAAGTGTGGGATTGAATCCCAAAACCCATGTACCAACCAGTACAAAGCCCTTGGGCCTTGGCTAGCAAGCATTATAGGGGGTTTTCTCCCGCTTCCTACCAGTCAGTCCCTTCCCTAGACCACGTCGGCGTTGCCTTCACCATCGTTAAATCGCTTGCTTCCAGGATAATCCTCACCACAGGATTCATGCATGTCTTGCCGGACTCTTTCGACATGTTGCGGTCGAGTTTGCTCGATTGCCATGGTACGTCGTAGTTAATTACATGCTAAAAATATAACACTTTGATTTTAGTGTGATGTTATGTTTTAGACTTTTATTAGTTTAATTTGGAAGTTGGTTGTTTTAAATATATAGTCGGAGGTGTTGGGCTTTCCCTTGGAGCCACAAGCAATAGTTGCAGCATCAAAGGACTTATTGCTGCACTATGCTTCCACCAAATGTTTGAAGGGATGGGAGTCGGGAGCTCCATTTTGCAGGCATGTATTTTCAATTCTGTACTAGTACCTAACAAAATCCATTTAATTAATTGCAAACACACCCAATTCATTTAAATATGTGGAAGCTAAGGTAGTGGTCTGATAATTAGGATGATAAAGCAGTCCTCTTGAATTCTTTTTTAATTGCAACCTAACGTTCCAATTTTCACATTTGTCAACACACAATTCACTATTCCTTATTAATACAAATTAAAAAATTCAAATTGTGAAAAAAATCAAATGAGATGAATTTAATAATATTTTTCAAAATGTTAATACATAATTCATTAAAATTAATGAAATGCGATCAAAGTAGGGCATGCGGATATAGACAATAGTAAAACGCTCCAATATTACAACTAAAAAACAGAGGTAGTAATACAGTAGCGAATATATAATGCAACATGTCAAATATCGTACCGATCTACACTAAGCTTACTCAGAATAAAAAGAACATTTTAAATTTAGACTACCGTAAGGCAAAATTAGACAAAATTAACATTTTAATTAATACAGTATTGAACATTTTAATTAACATTTAAGAAAAAATTAGACAAAATTTAGACAAAATTAACTAAATTAATTATCACGGAGATATAATTGAAATTTCCGAAGTATACATATGGAGGGCAGAAAAAACTTCTACTCCCTCCGTCCCAATTTGTTTTGCAAAGTAATCAATTTTTGGTCAACCAATAATTAAAGTCAAACCTCTGTATGGATAATTAATTCAATTTTTAATAATTAAAATTTACATATTCAAAAACTACATTAAAATCCCTTCAAAGTTATAAACTCCAAATTAGAATATAATTAAAAATTGGCATCGTAATTAAGTGAACAAAACGAGACTGTTTGACTAAGAAAAGTCAAATTTGCAACTCTTTTTGGGACGGAGGTGGTAATATAATATGAGTATATAATACTCCGTACGCAGTACTATAATAGATCAAAAAGAAAAGAAACAGGAGCAATATCGTAGAAGTGGAAGGAGCGCTGACTCGGGTTCTCTCAACAACAGGTTCTACATTTTCTTTTGGTGCAGCTTCCTCAGGTAGAGTGTTAACCACATAAGCTGCTGACTCGGTTCCCACATCCAATTTCTCTTCTTGCTCCCTCAACATACATATATTGATGTGAACACAAAGAGTGTTAATTTTTTCCTGCAACAGTATTTGGTAATTAAAAGATATTGTCCACAGAACAATACCAAAATTATAATGAGAGTATCATACGACTACTCACTTTGCAAAGTTAATTAGCTCCTAGTGGGGGGGTGTTGTTAATCAGATGAGCAATACTGGTAGTGCCGCTTGGATATTTGATCTGGAAGTCTATGGTCAGTATGTGAAACAAATCAATATATTTATTAATCAAGACCCCCCGTAAAAAGGCATGGAGAAAAAAGGGTGAAGTGGAAATGCACCTTTCTAAGAGGAACAATGGAGAATAACCCGAGAAAACTGATAACAATGAGAACCCAATCATCCAAGAACTAGTAAGTTCTAGGCTTCTACTTGGAAGCATCTTTGTATGTTTGGGCGCCTTTAAAATTTACCCCAGCTAAGCCTCACCTAAGCCTCACCTAGACATTATGCCCCATGGCATCTTGAAAACACTATTTACTCCTCTTTGGTTGATCTTTCGTGATGGCAAGAACAAGGAAGCAGTCAAGCAAAAAAATGATGCAGTGTAAAGCATCACTCTGTCAATATCTTTCTGAACTGAAAGTAGAAGAATTGTGTCAAGAAATAGAATAAATAACTAGAATTTTATAACAAATGCTATTGACCGTTAAACTATTCTGCTCATGATCATAAGGTTCTGAAATTTTGCTCAACCACCCAACATTGAATTAGTCACCTTTTGTCATAAGAAAAGGCGGCTTATGTTTATTTCAAAACAAAAAATCATATTCAAATATACATATCACTTCATCACATCTAATAATTAGATTCAGCTCTTCCTTAAGATTTATATCTGAGTACATAAGTATGAATTTTGTTGCTAAACCACTTAGTTTTACCTACTCAGCAGATATTAGCTACAAGATTTCAGTAAAAATCAACTATAGGCACTAGATAGTGGACAAAATTATTGACTCTTTACAAGAAAAATACAAACAAGGAAAATGTTATGTCATCATTCAGGAATGGAAGTAGTAATGTGAACAAAACCTAGATTGACAATTTCTTAATTTACATTTACAATAAATCATAAAATGGATCAACTTTAAAGTAATCAAATAAGCAAATTTACTACTGAAATATCTAGATATCTAGTGTGGTAGTGATGGTTCAGATGATGATGGTCCAACAAACTTAATAAAATGCCTAAAATGGTACAGTTATCACTTACCATTGACAAACTTGACATCAAATAGAATGTGCTTATTTGACAACCATCTTCAACATTTCATAACTTTTTTTATGGTTGATGTAGCAAGCCAAAATACATTCCCTTCATCTAGTAATCCCACTCCAATAGCATATTGGTCACCTCTTACAAACCTACAAAATAACAAGTTAAGTGACTCTTTTTTCAATTTGCAATAGATCACTGTTTAATTTGTTACCTCTTTCCTTTCAAACTCAGTAAACTTGCTTCCTATTTCATGAGAACCTAACGAGAACTATTTCAGAAAAGAATCAATGGCATACGAAGAAAATTTCTAACGATTGCATACATATAAAATTGAAACACTGTTATTCTCAAGTACAAATCAAGCAATCGCGAAAAAGTAGTAAAACTACCGATTTTTTATACTACCACACGGAAATAGGATGCACCTGGAAATTTGATCGCGGAGAAAATCCGATGGAAGATTTGCGATGGCACAAATCCACAAATTAGTATGATCGAGGAGTTGAGGATGATCTTCTACCATGGTTGATAATCAGTCTGCGACGATGCTATATATGCTCATGAACAGTCCGGCCAAAAGCACCGATTTAAGAGCTTAGGTCATCGTCCAGGACAAAAGCACCGATTAGTTTGACAGAACGTGTGTTCTCTTTTTTTTTGAATCCTTCTACTTTTATTAGGAATAATACGGAGTAATATTAACTCGATCTCCAGGGATTTTTAAAATGTTTAACTTCCTTTTAATTAAACTCCGTATTGTCAGTTCGTATACCATGCAACCGTCCCACGGTGCGCATGGTATATCTGGGAGAGTGAAGAAGCAGTTCGTATATTTTGGCTTTGTTATTTTTTATTTCTCCTTTTTTTAAAAATGTTAATAATTTTTTTATTTTTGATCCGATTTTTATAAAATTTATATCAAAATTTTTTATTTTTCATGATCTTTCAAATGAGACCAATATTGCCTATGTAATTTTAACATATTAACATTTGCGTGTAAAAATATGTAACTTTACGTGTTAAAATATGTAACTCGCGTTCAGTCAGGCCAAATGCAACTCGTGTGTATAAATATGTAACTTTACGTGTAAAAATATGTAACTTTACTTAAAAAAAATATGTAACTCTCGTTCAGACAGGTCAAATGCAACTCGTGTGTATAAATATGTAACTCGCGTGTATAAATATGTAATTTTACGTGTAAAAATATGTAACTTTACGTGTAAATATATGTAACTCGCGTTCAGGCAAGTCAAATGCAACTCGTGTGTATATATATGTAACTCGCGTGTATAAATATGTAACTTTACGTGTAAAAATATGTAACTTCACATATAAAAATATGTAACTCACATGTATAAATACCTAATACAATAAATTTTTTATATACACAATTTTAAGATAAAATGTGATTTACACAATTATTTTTCTGTATTAAATTTAGTTTGGTTTTCTTTATAATCCAATACACATTAATATAATAGTTTGATTATTTCTTAAAATTACATAAGCAATATTGGTCTCATTTGAAAGATCGTGAAAAATAAAAAATGTTGATATAAATTTTATAAAAATCGGATCAAAAATAAAAAAGTTATTACCATTTTTTAAAAACAAAGGATAAAAATAAAGAAACAGTCCTCATCAATACTCCGTCGTTTTGCAACCGGGCGCACCATCCTCATGGTGCGCCGGTTGCACGATATAATTTGCGCCGTATTGTGGTATACATAGATTTTGAAAATTGAAGTATGTCGGCAAAGGAAATTAAAGTGAGTCAAGAAGGAAATACGGAGTATGACTTTTTCCAAAATTAAAGTGGAATAGTTATCTTGTCACACAAAGGTGTCAGTATATATTAACTATTATAACACTTTTTTATGTGTCAACGAAAATGTGTGTCAAGAAATGTAACATTTCTTGTAGTGAGCAATACATGAAAGCCGGCAGTCGCAAAACAATAAAGACTAAAGGGTCAAATATGTCCTTGTAACCGTTTCAAATTGCTCAATTTGCCCCCTGAACCCAAAAATGCTTCAATTTGCAGCCTGAACTCGATAAAATGATCCAAATTTCAGTTTTTGCAGGTTTCAATCCGGTCACCCGGTAGGGTGCCAACTGTGCATGTGACGTGGCACAGTATGTATAACACAAATTTTATTTTATGTATAATATCTAATGGTTTGTAATATAACACAAATTTTAGGTTTTGGTTGATAATTTATACAAAGCATTATGTTTAAATTATCCATTTGTAGTTTTTCATTTCATATTTTTTAATTTATCTAAAAATATACTAAAAATATATAAACAATTTTTATGTAACTACTTTTAATTTTCCGAAGTTACTAATTACACTTTTTTTATATCTATAGAAATAAGAATTAAAATATAAAAATAGTAACTACATGTTCATATTATTTATTTTAAATATATTGAAGTCTTTTTTACGTATTGTAGATAAGAATGAATTTCTTTTAGTTTATATATTATTTCAGAATTTCTTTCTTTTGAATTTACCAAAAATACAAATATTTCATATTTGTATTTTATATTTTCGATTAATTTTTTATTCTATTTTTTATTTTCATTATTTATTTCTAATTTTCGTAATTTGACTTTTTTGTTGAGTTGAGGGGGTGAATTGAACGATTTAATCAGGTTCAGGAGCTTATTTGACCACGTCACATGCACAGTTAGATCCCTACGTGGTGACGTGGTGACCGGATTGTAACTTACAAAAAGTGAAATTTGGATCTTTTTATTGAGTTCAGGGTGTCAATTGAACCTTTTTTTGGTTCAGGGAGTAAATTGATCAATCCAGAAGGGTACCTGAGCCTATTTGACCCTTTAGCCCACAAAAATTACAATTGTCCAACACTCCAACTATGAACTATATAACAAAAAATGGGCACGCGTGTGGCATGGAATAAGATAAGTGTGGCTTGAGTAAGAATAAGTGTGGCGTGGGTAGAAGGCCATGTGCTCAAGGGATTAGCCACAAAGATAGGATCATTCAACCTCACATACACTTCGTACCTAGCTAGTAGTTTAGTACGAGTATATACGATAGTAGGATATACTACCTCCGTTCTCTTTTAAATGCAACGTTGGACTTTTTGCACTATTCACATGTTCTACTTTGACTACGTTTTATTTATTAATGTAATAATATATATTTTTGAAAAAAATATTGTTAAATTTTTCTCATTATAAATTTTCAGAATCTATTTTTTAAACGTTTTTTACTAATCGGGAATTATATATATTAATGGTCAAAGTTGTGCCTCGACAAATGTGAAATGCTGACTGTTGCATTTATTTAAGAACGGAGAAAGTACCAAGTAATATATACTCCGTACGTACGTATGCTAATGACTGCGTGTGCCAGCCTGCCCCTCACATACTCCCTGCGTATTCAGTATTCTCCATCATATCGATCAGTTAGTTACTTTGTTATATTTACTTATATATAAGCCTCTCACGACACATACGTACGTACTCCCTACCGTATAGATACTACATATATACTATATACGTATAAATCACATATCATCCGCTTCCTAAAGGATCCCTGATATAATTAATTAAGCTATGGCGGAAAAGAAGAATATAGCTTCAGCAGCATTGTTCTTCATCTTCATCATTATATTCACAAATGCACCCCAAACTCTAGCCCAAGGCCACAGCAAGTGCGGGACTGAATCCGATAACCCATGCACCGACAAGTCCAAAGCCCTTGGCTTGAAAATCATAGCCCTCGTATGCATACTGTTCGCGAGCGTTATCGGGGTTTGTCTCCCGCTCATCACCAGCTCCGTCCCTGCCCTACACCCCGCGGGCGTCGTCTTCACCGTCGTTAAATCGTTTGCTTCCGGGATAATTCTCGCCACTGGATTCATGCACGTCTTACCGGACTCTTTCCACATGTTGCGGTCGAGTTGTCTCAGTGACAGCCCGTGGCATCGGTTTCCATTTAGCAGTTTTGTAGCCATGTTATCGGCCGTTGTTACCATGGCCATCGACTCCCTTGCCACGAGCATGTATAGGAAGAAGAACGCCGCCGAATCTCCCCGGGACGCGGCCAGCCAAAATGTGGAGATGGGATTTACCTCAGCTGACAAAGGAGTCCAAGTGGACACTCAAATTTCACGTTCTAGAGTGATTGCCATGGTATTAATTAATTAATTAATTACATGCTAATTATATTAAATACTCCGTATATAATTAAGTTGATTATTTTATGTGATGTGATATGATCTTTTGGTTTAATTTGGAAGTTGTTTTTTATAAGAGAAAAGTACTCTAATATTACTAAAATTTATGAGTTTTCGCCTTCTAAGAATATGACTATATATGACCAAATGGAACATCGATCACATACATGGCCGGCTGGAATGATGAAAATAAATAACCAATAATGACCTTATGCATATACGAACTAATTCCTTATATTTAGGAACAATAATTAATGCAGCCTAATGTATGCTTTAATTTCTCTTCATCGTAAATAAGGATATGTTGCAAAAGAAAGTAATTATTTGAAAAGCAATGGCCGATAGTTTAGGTAATAATAAAATGAGCATTAACATAAGGCAGTGAATAATATAGGCAGTAAAAACCTGTTAACATACATGTCCATGCATGGCACATGCATGTGTGCGCTGTACTCATCCAAGCCGCAAGACTTCCTGACTTCCCTTACTATTCGGCCATATATGTTGTTGTGTTTATTAATTAGAGTTTATCTCTTATTATTATTATTATTATTATCCCATACGTAGCTTATCAAGTACATTTATGTACGTTTCTATACCGATAGGAATAGTCAGTTAGCAATCTTTATCTGTACATTTTATTAGGCCAACTCAAGTGTATATATTCATACGAAGGAATGAAATGAAGGATACGTGGAATTCCAATTAAACCTTTCGAAAAAACATAGGCAGTAAAATAATGAAATATTCAGTAATAAATGTTGACGTGTGAGCATAGGCACTAAATAGAGGACAATAAAGAAATGGGCATTAACATAAGACAGTGAATAACATAGGCAGTAAAATCCTTTTAAAAAAATATAGGCAGTAAAAATCATGAATTATTTAGTAATAAATGTTGACAGGTGAGCATAGGCACTAAATAGAGGACAAAAAGAAATGGGCATTAACATAAGACAGTAAATAACACGAACAGTAAAATAATGAATTATTTTATTCGTTAGTAAATATTTGCATTCTATATATGATCCATAAATTAAATAGACAGTAAATATAAAAATATAATTAATTGTTTAAGAGGGTAGTAAATGTGTATGAGGGCACTATTGTTTGTAGTACGTATAATAATAATAATAATAATAACAACAACAACAACAATAATAATAATAATAATAATAATAACAACAACAACAACAACAACAACAATAACATAATTTTAATTTATATAATGGAAGCAATGTCTCGGTAGTTACATAAAGAAGTAGTTCCTTATTTTTAGGAGTCTAATTAATAAATATACATGCATGCGGTGGAAGGCTAATGGAATCCTTAATTTTAGGAGAAATAACTACTTATTCATTATTGTGCTGAGGACATTGGTGGAATAAAAAGAAAATAAAGAAACGCGGACGACCAAGTACATTATGCAAGTATCACATTAGGGAAAAAAGTGAAGAAGTCATAGATTGGGAATATCATGTTCTTTTAGTCATAGGAGAGTTAATTTTCTCATTTTATAAATGTGTGAAAGGTATTGGAGATTGGGATAATAGTCCATTCAGTGGTGATTGGGCTTTCTCTAGGAGCTTCAAGTAACACTTGCAGCATTCGGGGATTAATTGCTGCTCTCTGTTTTCATCAAATGTTTGAAGGAATGGGACTTGGAGGCTGCATTCTGCAGGTACATGCTTAGATTAGATTCAACCCTTTACAATCAATAAATTCATAATTTCAAAGTCTTGTTAAACAATAATGAATGTCTAATATATGCAAATAATGTCAAATATCGTACTCTACAGTAAAATTTACTTAATAAAAAGAAATTTTGAAAAGTTTTTTAGGAACGGAGTTAGTATTGATGTATTACAAATTTATCACATAAATGCCCGCATGCAGGCGCAATACGGTTTGTTAAAGAAGGCGAGCATGGCGTTTTTCTTCTCAGTGACAACGCCCTTGGGGATAGCGGTGGGGATAGGATTATCCAACACATATAAAGAGAGCAGTCCCCGTGCTCTTATCACCGAAGGGTTGCTGAACGGATCATCCGCGGGCCTTCTCATTTATATGGCTTTGGTAGATCTTCTGGCTGCTGATTTCATGGGCCAAAAGCTACAAGGGAGCATCAAGTTACAGATGTATTGTTTCATGGCCGTGCTTTTGGGATGTGGTGGGATGTCTATCTTGGCCATGTGGGCTTAATTAGCTAGTTAGGTTCATGCCTGCATGATTGGTGATCATGAACTCTTTTATTTATGGTGTAGAATTATTTTAGTAATAAATATATACTTCCTATTTATTTATTCAGTCCCATTGAATACATAGTTTTAGTTTTGTTTCAATAATTATCATTAGGATTGTTCATCAGAATTATTCTTATTTGTATAATCCCTCTGTCCTCTTTTAAATGTCCCGTTTTACCATATTGGGATGTCCCTATTTAATCGTCTCATACCTTATTTGGTAAAGTTTGTGTGGCTCAAAATCATTCTTACTTTATTCTTACTTTATTCTTACTTTATCAATTAATATCAACCGTACAAACCCACTTTTCTTAAAACTCGTGTCACCTCTTCTGTCCCAATATAAAAGGGACGGAGGTAGTATATATCTACTATGGTCTTGAGTGTTTTGTTTTCTTTGTATAAATGACTCCATCCAGGTCAAATGTCATATTTTGTACTCCCTCCGTCCCCGCTGTTATTGTCCCGTTTCCTATTCACTTGGTCAATACAAATCATTCTTAATCTCTTACTTTATGTTTCAAATTTTTATCAAACCTGATTCAGGTATTTGCGACTTGGTAAAGCTTTTAATGTAATTTCTGAATATGTAATTTTTATCCTTAAAATTAATTTGAATGCGGATAGAGATCTATTTACTTTATCGTCGGTCAAGCATCATAAACCGCAATGGGACAATAACAGGGGGCGGAGGTAGTAGTAGAATTTCCCTGTCTAGTAATAAAGTTTGTAACAGATATTAGTGAACATATATATGGCCTCAAAATTAAAGCTTGAGTTTTTGTAGAGCAGTTGGCTGTAGATCGATTATTTTCTCTTAATGGATGGGCTTGCACAGGCTGCTCATAATAAAATGAGGCGATTACATGCTATTACTGACTCTGAAATTTTATGCAATCAGGGTAGTGTTGATATATTCTAAAGACCTATACTTTTGTTTGGTTATTATTTATGATGCCATTTTGAGCAATGAATGAACTAAAAGTGTTGCTTTATCTCATGAAAGATTATTTGTATACTAAGAAGTTATGACCTTTCATCTGTTGTTTCTAATCAAAATAGTGTAGTGAATATTCATACATGGCAATAGCCAGGGTAAAATAGGTAGATTATTGTGTGAATTGATAAGTCAAACTGGGTAGGAAAAATTAGGATTACATATTTAGTGCAGCAACAGATTCTCTAAATCAGCTAAATGCTATCAAGTTAGAAATTAGGACTAGTTTATAGAATTTTATGTAATTATATATAGACATACAGAGTGATTTTAAATAGAATACGGAGTTCTCCATAATATTTTATAGCGTAAATACTGTTTCACACTTTTGGTCACTCAAATATTTACCATATTGAAATGTACTGTCAGACCTGTGTTTTTAAGATTGTAATTGGATTGACAGAATTGGAACAGTTATTTGATAACCTGAAGTTGCATATGGATTCACATTATTTAAGTCATATATTTGGATTCACACAGTTATTTGATAACCTGAAGTTACATGTGGATTCACATTATTTAAGTCATACGTAGTATAATTTAGCATCATACACATTTATATTTTGAATAAGAAACATATAAGTCATATAACTGTTCCCACCCCTGAACATAGGTCATACGTGCAAACCTCGTGCCTAAAAACTGTTAGATCTTCCTCTTCAAAGCAATATAAATTACGTCTCCTTTTCCTCTTCACAAATCAAAGCAAGTTTGTGGCAAATTCAACTTATGAACTCATGTGTACAATTTATTATGTATATTAAATCGATTGTACTTTTTCTACAGTGTATCAAATACTCCAAATAATAGTACGATGCGCTCAAAGAGTCAAAGATTCCGGATATCAAGATGAAATGAGGTTTGAGGATCAAAGAAAGATTGGTCATCGTATCAATATGCTGCAAATGTTAGGAATAGTTTTCTATGGTGAAGAGGTATAAACATTTAATCATATTTTACTATCAAATGACTCAAACACATTTTGGTATTCATCTTTCAAAGGTAGGTTAGAAGAGACGAAGAGTTCATGTCATAAAATAACGGTTGCATTTTTCTAAGGAGCATTTATTACTGTTTAGGAGTACTAAAGTTTGCTTGGGAAAAAATCCAATTTAAGCAGTACTCTTAATACGTATGGTATAATTGGGAAGTATATTTCTTGCCTTTGAATGATACACATGTGCCGTATATATACAAGGTACAAAGATTACCAAAGCCCTATTCTAATAATGATGGCCGCATCCCATATACATAAAGGTAAATACAAAAATGAATTTTAATGAGTAGTCTAAGACCCAAACGTGCCCAACACCCCCCCCCCCTCAAGTTGGAGCATGCGGGTTATAAATGCCCAACTTGCGAAGTAGAAACATAAACTGCCGCTTTCCCAAAGCTTTGGTAAAGATATCAGCTAGTTGATCGGTAGTCAAAACATGCTGCGTAGTGATTAAGCCCTCTTGAATAGCGTTACAAATATGATGACAATCAACTTCATTATGTTTCGTACGCTCAAGACAAACAGGATTCTGGGCAATGTGAAGAGCGGATTTGGTGTCACAGAACAAAGACATGGCGCGAGGATGGGTGACACCGAGGCTAAAAAGAAGACTTTTAAGCCATTTTAATTCTGATGTATGTTGTTTCTTGGTCTTCCAAGAGATAAAGGAATTACCAAGAAACACTACCCAACCAGTGACAGAATGACGAGTGAATGGGAAGCTGGCCCAGTCAGAGTCACACCATCCGGTTAAAGTCAAATCACAAGAGGAGCACAGGAGAATACCTTGTCCCGGAGTGCCTTTTTGGTATCGGACAACCCGAAGTGCGGCATCTCAATGTTGCTGGCGAGGTGTTTGCATGAAATGAGAAAGAATTTATGAACTCTCTAGGCCAAATCGGGACGTGTAAATGGTAGATAAGTTAGGCGACCAACAAGACGCCTATAGGATTCTGGAGCAGTGAGCAGCGGACCCGTAGCCAAAGCCAGTGCATGATTCTGCTCGATTGGAAATCCAGTAGGTTTGGCGCCAAGTAGACCAGTCTCAGAGATAATATCCAATCACTACTAGAAAAACAGCTTATAGTGACACTTGTGTAGCGACACTATGGTATCACAAACACAGCTGTGACACTTGTATATCAGTGATTAGGTGACATTATTACATCAAAACATAATAGTGACACTCAAACTCAATTTATTATTTACTCTAGCTTCTATACAGACATTCTTCCTCCTAGCCTCCTCTTCTCTCGTTCACTTCACCACACATCCCCACATTCTTCCTCCTTAACCTCCTCTTCTCTCATTTACTTCATCACACCCTCTTGCAACGGTTGTGATCCCGAGTCTACAAACTCTTGGTTGTTTGGATGCTTGAACGCCGTCGCCACTCGTCGGATGCATCGTCGCCACTCGTTAGATGCATTGTCGCTACTCATCGGATGCATCGTCGCCACTCGTCAGATGCATTGTCGCTACTCGTCGTCGGATGCATCGATCGACCACCTTTAAGGATGGACGCTGTCACCACCTTCTAGACGCTCCTTAGGTCATCGATTCCTCGAAACCTCCACATTACCGTAGCTACAGACATCAGTGATTCATCTCCTTTTTCTTGGGTTTTTCATCTTACAAACGAAGATGCTAACCGGTAGGTAATTCATCTATATTTTCCAGCTTGAACGTGTATCCTTACCTCCTTTAATTTTAATTCTTAGTTTTTAACCTAAAATCAGAATCTTGAAACCATCTAATTGCTTTTTAGAATTTTATAGACTAGCTTTAAACCTATTGAGTTCTATTTATAATTAGCAGCAAGCTTTTTTTTAACTTAATAACTATGGATTTGAATTACCTTACTCATATATTGTATTTCCTCCCTCAAAAAAAAGTCCCTGCTGGTGGTAATTTAATTTAGAATTTTATAGACTAGCTTTAAACCTATTGAGTCCCAAGCTTTTTTTTTAACTTAATAACTTAATGTATATGTTTGGTGGAGCATAAGCTATTGATAAGGTTATGCAAATAGATATACAAGCTATTGTCAAATCATTTGACTTCCAAAAATCATTTGACTGCCTTTCCGATTGAATTTTTATTGAAATTTGGTATGGATAAACTAGACTTGATGAAGAACATGCAAACAAAATTAAGAAAAAATACCACCGGGAACCGCCCCAAAAGGAGGAGGCCGGACGGCGCTCCGGTCAGGAATTTCCTGACCGGAAGATCACTCTCTCTCTCTCTCTCTCTCTCTCTCTCTCTCTCTCTCTCTCTATATATATATATATATATATATATATATATAGGGGTGTGATATTCGTGTAATTTTCGATTGTATGTTTGTATTTTTAACTAGTTTTTATTAGTTGTAGCTGTGGAAATTACACACTTTTGGTGTAATATTTTATTTTCATTTTTATTTGTAATTTGTTTAGATTAGGATTATTCTGAGCTAAACAGGTCAAAGATCATCGAATGGATCAAGATTGGACCTTAAAAGATCAAGGAAAGTGCAAGGAGACAAGAAAGATTTCGATTTGGAAAAAATACTCATGTACCCGGTCGGGTATTGCCTATACCCGATCGGGTATTCACTTGATTCGATTGTCCAAATCAAATCCGGGAACAAATGATCGTGGGAGCAAATTTTCGTGAAGATTTGTCACATACCCGATCGGGTATGCCGACATACCCGATCGGGTATGCCCAGAAAAGTGACTTTCTGGGCAATTTCCTGAGATACCCGATCGGGTATCCTCTATACCCGATCGGGTATCAGACCCTACAGCTCCCAAAAGCCTATAAATACACCCCTTTCCTTCACAATAAAATCACCAATTCACATATACTCTTTAGCTCAGTTTAGATTAGTGTTTTCTTTATATTTTCTATCATGTTTAGTCTCCAAATGAGGAGCTAAACTCTTCCATCTTGGTTTTGCTACTTTGAAGCTTAATGAATTGTAAGTTGTGAGTTATTTTCTTTAATCTTCTTCCTTGAATATTAATTAATTCTTATTCCTATTACATATTAATATTTTGAGCAATACTTAAAGGATCAACTAGTTTTGTTTCATATATTAATTAATACTAGAATCGGTCGATTAATACGCTTGTTATTAACTCGATCCTTTCACGGTAGTAAACTTGGGTTGTTAATGCATGCGTCTCATGGTTAATAAGCCAAGGGGAATTAATTATA